ATACTGAAAACAACCCATGCAAGTTTCCACTGAGGTATAATTCATGCGATCGGCTCACCTGAAGGAATTATTGTGTTTACTTATGCAGAACAACACTTAGATGTGTTTTTACGTTATATGTTTAAGATGTCCGAACTCATTTTTCTTCCCTCACAGTCCATTTTTCAGCAAGTGTTTCTTAACTCTCATAGCAATGGACTTGGACAGTGCAAGAAAAATCATCCTCGCTCAGAATATAATTTACTTTCACCGCGGCCAGTTGTGTGTTTTATGTCTTTATGGAAAAATCCCGCAGGAATCATTTTTATCTAAAATGTGCTGTATGTTTTCACATCAGGGCCTACCATTTATTTCAAGCAAGTTTGACACCTTGCACACAAAACACACAACACCCCAATGGTGTTTTATTGGATCGAGATCTGTCATGTTCAAAAACCCAGTCGGAAAATATCCCCTACACCGTTACACCACTAGTACCCCGGTTTGTTTTTATTAGGCGTGATGGATCCATGCTTTCATGTCGTTTATACTGAATTCTGACTGTACTATCCAAATGTGGCTGCAGAAAGAGACTCACTAAACCAGACAATGTTTCCCCAATAGTCCAATATATTGTCCAACATGATTAAGTCTGTGTGAACTGTAGCCTCAGTTTCCTGCTCTTAGCTGACAGCAATGGCACCCAGTGTGGTCTTCTGCTGCTGCAGCCCATCTGCTTCAAGGATTGACCTGCAGTCTGTTTAGAGACACTCTTCTGAATACCTTGGTTGTAATAAGCGATTATTATTACTTCCTTCCTCAGCTTTATTTCCTATTTGGTATTTGAAGGTCGTATTGACCATGTCTATATACCTAAATGCATGCAGTTGCCACCATGTGATTGGCTGAATGCATTAGTGAGCGGTTGACACCTTGTACCTAATGAAGTGGCCAGTGAGCATATGTAACTGCATACAGAAGGTTGTAAATAAAAACCAGATGGCAAATGGCAGTAAAGGAAACAAAGCACTATAACTCCAAGTGACACTGGTTTCACATTTAAAAGTGCTGCTGGTCCAGAATCTTTCAGGATGCCACTACGCTGTAGCCATCCCATAGTTTCCCAAGCGAGAACTTAAGCATCAGAGACAGCAGACATAATGAAAACATGTTGCTCCAGAGTTGCCCTGAAAGAGCTTGAAAGCTTCTGAAACACTGTGTTTTTCTGGGTTGTTTTTTCCCCCCCTTCTTTCTTCAACTGCAGCCACATGCAGGGCAGAAAATCTGTTGGCAATTTTCTCTCTTTAAGTGTGTGTGGGGGTAATTTTCTGGTTTCAGGACCCAAGGAACGTTAGGCAGAGACAGGCACGCTACGCCGAGCGAGACCAGCCGACACTTTGAGTTGCACTTTTCTATATTGTGTTCCCCCCTTAGAGTACATAGGATATACACAAGCCGTGGTGTCACGCTGACACACACACACACATACTGAACCCCAGAGCAATCATGCTCAATTTGCAGGTTGAGCTGAGTGTTCAGTGCAGGAGAAACAATCCCGCTGCCAAGAATAACATCACGTGGGCAGCTGGGTGACCATTAAAAATGGAATTAATCATATTCAGGATATTGTGGTATTTCTGCAAATTAATCGCAGAGATTTATTTCAATAGGAGCTCAGTGCACAGCTTCGGGGCACTTCAGATTGACCACATGAGCCCAACAGGTGGGCAGATTAGGCAGACATGTAGTAGAAAGGGGGGAAAGGGAGAGAGAAGAGGCAAAAGGGGGGGAGAGAAGTAAAAGAAATTATAAATTAAAAGCTCGCTAAGTAAGTTAAAATTGAGGGAAATCTATTTCATGCACAAAAGGCAACTGAAGCTTGATTTACAAAGTGGGAGAGACAACAAAAAGGAACACGAGTCAGTAGAGAAAGCATTAGCATGAGAGTGTGCAGGAGAAGATTTACTGAGTGTGTGTGTGTGTGTGTGTGTGTGTGTGTGTGTGTGTGTGTGTGTGACAAATTAAAGGAAGAACTTAAACCCTTGACCCTTGCTGTTGTGGGGTCTGGTGGCTCTGTTAGGGGTTGGCTTTCTTGATTCCTTAGAGGGAAAGATCAGTTTAAAACACTCGTATCCTCATGGCAGACTCCAGGATGACAATGCCACCGAGTGGTTTGATGAGAATCATATGCTTTCGCTTTAAGTCACCACCTTTCAGTTCGGTTTAACACCAGTGGGAGATCTTTGGGTCCATGCTTTTCACAGCACTCTCCACCACATCATCAAAACACCAAATAAAAGAATATCATTTGTAGATTGATGTTCCAGAAACTTGAGGAATCAGTGCCAAGGCACACCGAAGCTGTTCTGGCAGCACGAGGTGCCCAAACACCTTACTAGAACACACTTTGTGCTGTTGAGGGTCGGCTAGTTTTTTTTTGGCTGTTTGTTCTTTTTTCTTTGAATTTGTCAGTTGTTTGTATTTTGGTCCTGGCTGTGTCTACACCTGGGATGAAACAAAAGCCACTCACTGGGAACATAAATGATAGAGAAGAGCAGGAGAAATAAACCAGAGACTGGACGACGGGGACGTGTGTGCTGTTGAGGGAAGAAAAGGAAAGTTTGTATTTTAGAGTTGAGATGATGGAAGAAGGCAAAAAAAGACAGGAGAGTGTAAAATGAAAGAAAAAAGGAGCATGTAGTGTATTGTCCAATTTTAAAACTAAGCTAAGTCTGAAACCTCTCCACACATTCTCTGCTGTTGAAAATGTCCTGAATGTTCTTTCTCCTGTAGTCATTATTCATCGGGATCAGGTCCTTCTCCCTCATTCTCACTGAGAGAAGTGTAGTAAAGTTAGTTGAGCTACGATAAAATAATTCAGATTAATTATACCAGTTCACAGCAACAGTCATCTCAAGGTACTTTGTTGTGACGTGAAGACCTGCAAGGTCTTAGAGGGAGAGCTCCACTAGTACTTTACGATGGCGGGGAGGAAGAAGCAGAACCAGGCTCAGGGAGGGGCAGCCATCTGCTGCAACTGGTTTGGGAGTGAGGGGGTAATAGACCATAGGCAATAAACAGGACAAAAGGCAGTCTGGGACAAAAGTTAATGATATGCAATAGTGGTGTACAAAGGAAGAAAGAAGGGATTGGAGGAGAAGTGCTAATGGCATCATGGGAAATCCTCCAGCAGTCTCAGTCTTTAGGAGCGTAACTAAGGGATGGTTCAGGGTCACCTGGTCCAGCATAACTATACGGAAAACTTAATCTTGAAAGAGTCTGTCTACCAACTCCAAATTGGAGCTGTTTCTACAGATGAGGGGCCTGAAAGCTGAAGGGGCCTGATTATTAAAGACTTTATATTTTAAACTTGATTCTGGATTAAACAGGGAGCCAAAACAAAGCCAAAATGGGAGAAATATGCTCTCTCTTTCTAGTCCCAGTTAGTGTTATCAGTGCAGCATTTTGGGTCAACTGAAGATTTTTCTGTAAAAAAAGGAAATATCTTTTACCTTTAGCGACTAAACTTAAAAAACCTAATATTTCCATCTTTATCTTTATCTCATATATATTCACATTAATTCGTGTTGTAATTTCAATACTTCTCCTTTTGTCTTGTCCCTAGAACATGTTTGTTGCCTTGAGGTTTCCTCTCTTAGCAAACTTTCTTTTCCCTATGTGAATCAAAGCTGGGACGGTGTCGTAAACATCACGAAGCTCAACCATGACACATTTCTGCTTTAGGGCTGTCCAAATATTACTCAACTATAGAATCAATAAATTCATTACAGAACAGTCGACACAAACAAAACAACTGTGTCCACTGCAGCCACTTCACACCCATAAAACTGGCTCTGGCTGTCTGAGGAGCCCAAAGAAACAACTGCAGGTTAATGATTCACTTTACAGTCAGAGTTAAATAACACCTTCAACTCTCACTTTAGCTGGACAAGCTCATCTTTATTAACAGTTACAAAGCTGTAAAAATGGACTGACAGACAACACTTACAGTACAACACAGTGCATTTATCTTTAAATTGACTTACATACACTTAGTGTTTTGTACTTTATCCAATTACAGACAACATTTGTGAGGGAGTGATTTATGGGACCATTAATTCCCAAGTTCAAAACCTTATTGTGGTGCTGTTTAATTGCTTTAATGATTAATTAAAGACTGATTTCGTGCATAGTTTAAGGATGTTGTGCTCCTGTGGCTATGCAATGTAGAGCTGTGACTGGAGATACTCTGATTTCCTGAAATAATTCAATTTACAATCCCGTTTTCTCAGTTATTTAATATGTACTGTATGTACTGTAGTTAACTTAAAATGAGCAGTTTTCTCTCTCTCTGGAACACTATGGAAAGTTCATGTAACTTTGATTTATGCTCGTGTATTTACAACAGTCATCAGACCTAAGTTGACCTCCTGTCAGGCATTAGAGAATTAAGTTAACCATTGTACTTTATTTGCTTATTGCTAATGTTTTATTATGCTTCAAAAAGCATTGTAAAAAATAGAAATATAATCATTTCAATAAATAAATGTATTTAAAACATGTAAATAGTATATAGAGATTTAATTTAGGACAAAAAGCAAAAAGTATACAAAATATACAAAAATAAATTAAATACACTTTAAAAATTACTTTATTTTTGCTGATTTAGTTTACTTATCAACAAAAGTTTGAATGTGAGATTTTTACACAAATATCACAATTTTATATCGTTTTACATGTCTGGTAATTTTACCAGACATGTAATGAATGTAATGAATCAGCTGTATCCTATCCAGCCCTGTGTGAATAATCCTTTGTTATTTGCGTTACTCAGATGAAACAAGCTAGTCTAGCTCAACATGTTACATTAACCTACTTTTTATCCAGCAGTGAGTTTGCACATTCTTTTTTTTTAGGTCACGCTAAGATGTTAAATTTAACAGCATAAAGTGAACAATTCCTTTTTTTTTCTTATTCTCACATTTTTGTTAACTTGTATGTTTTTCTATATTTTCTTTTAGGTGGCAGATAGCATCATCTCAAAGCGCATCTTCACTGGTGAGCACCCCTTTGTCTACAGACACACACACAAACACAGACAGACACACACCTTCTCACTAACTTTTTTAATGTTCTTTGATCCCCTTTCTCCCTTAGAGGCGAGAACCATGCCTCACAATTTCAACAACTCAGGGTCAAAGTTTATGAGCCCCGTGACCCAGAGGCCATCTGCCCACTTGACCCTCAGAGACGCCAGTTCTCAAGGTGAGGCATCTGTGTTTAAGCGGTCATCGTTAATCTAGGCGAAAGATTTCGGGAAGTCGGAGAGGAAAATGAAAGTTTTGCCGCTGAGCCGAATGTTCTGCATGTGCCGAGCATGCACAAAACTGTGGGTTGAATAGATAAAACCAACGATAAGCTAAACAGTTTTGGTTCCTACATGGTGCAGACATCTGGACTGAATATTAGACTAAGGAACACTGAGGAGCATTGGGAGCAGCTGCTCATGAAGTTTAAAAATATCTAAAGAAAAAAAATCTGAAGAAGCTTCTCGGATGAAAGATAAAAAATCTTCAAGAAACTTAAAGAAGTCTAGAGCTTTTCTTTCCAAGCTCCTTAGATCACAGAAATGTAGCGCTACAATCCCTGACTGTCACGCACACCCTGTGGCTATTTTCAGATTTACACACACTACAGTCCTGTTTAGAAAGCTTTGTTTATTAAAATTATTCACAAAGAAATAAAATGTATTATTATTGAGTTCTTTGGTGTACACTGGGGCCTCTGGTTTCCCAGAAACCAAAAACATGTACGTTTGATTATTTATTTATTCAAAAGTAGTGAACTGTGATGGAAGTCAACCTGTCCAGCCTGTACCCCACTTTTTGCCCAATGAGAGCAGAGATTGGCTCCAGCCCTTCCACTGATCCTATCTGTATAACCAATTAAAAAAGATGAATGGGTGGATTATTAAGTTATTCTATCTGTTAAAGTTACAAATCACATTTTCTTCCCCATTTTCCTGTGTAGCATGTTTAGAAGCACATTAAAGTCTACTCTGCTGCTCTTTTTTGCCCGAGGCATTTACTGAGAAACACTGAAGTTTTAAGCTGAGTCTGTGAGGTCTACCAGTATGCTGTATGTGGCAGTAAAGTAGATATTTATATAGTTCACAGATCAGAATCACACACATTATAAAACATGGAATTTAAAGTTGGAATGTGTTTTTCATGACTTTGGTATTGTTTCATCTGAATCGCTCGTGCAAACTGAAGGGTGTTGACAATCTGGCAAAGCCTTCCTTATGTCATTTCCACTGAGCTGACAAAGGGTAAGAAATGTGCTGTGTGTGTGTGTGCAAGAGCTAGAAAGACTGTGTGTGTGTAAGAGGGTGAGGTTCACACATTAAGCCTGGATTTCTCATAAGGAAATACAGGAGGAACTTTGATCCGCGATGGGTGTTTCTTAGAAAGAGAAGTTATCCTACACATGAAGAAAACTGTTTCACGCTGGCACACACAAGCTATGACCCAACTAATTACAACTGAAAGTGTAAAGAATTGAAGTAGTCACCATGACTTCGCCATATGGGTTTGGACTGTCCATTTTGAAGCTTCGGAGTTAGCCTTTTGGCTGCTGCGTTGGTTTGTTTCGAGCCCTAAGGTACCTTATGTGGACAGAAGCACAGCAAAAGCACAGCATGCTTACGTATCAGTTAATGAAGATAAGCTTGCACGCATTTTGCAGACATTAAGAGCTATGCCGTGAATTATCGCCATGTTGGACATCACCATTTGCTAGTTGCAACTGCGTCTTTCCTGACTGGCTGTTAGGGTTTCTGATAGTTTCTGGCTGGAAATTGGTTGCACGGAAGTTGCTGCACCAAAAACCTCCAAGCAATCGATTTGTTTGGTAACAAACTGCCTCAGTTTCTTGTTTTTCATCTTTGTCTGCGAATACTTGCTAACTATTAGCTGAGCAGCAGTGCAACTTGAAAAACTGTACAATAAATTTACTTTTACATTCAAAGTAAAAGTTGCACTGCAGAGGTGCACCAAACAAGTTTCAAAAAATGCAACTTGTACTTAAAGGCACACCATCTCCATTTACCGTTTTCCAGTTTCAGTGCATCTTGAAGACCAAGTTGTCACGACTGTCACACAGACAACAGGTCAGTAACACACGTCTTGGATGGTTTGTTCCATACAGTCAGTCATATTATTTTTCGGATAGTACCTGCTAAAACAGCACGTACACAATGGTGCAGTCCACTTCATTGACTAGAGGTGAAGCTCTTTTGGGAAAACTTTTCATTTAAAGTGAATGTACACCCCACCATCCCAGCAGCAAGGGAGATGTGCTAAAAAAAAAAAAATGACCCAGCATGGAGTTCTTATGAAGAGAAAAGCTAGCACAGTTTTTGGTATCAGGCTGTAAACATGTTTTTTAATGCAAGTCTTTGGAAACTGACTTGTTTTTGAAGCCTCAAGTGGCCACTAAAGGAACTGCAGTTTTTCGCACTTCTGGATTGTAAATAGCGTTGGAGCAGATGGAAGAGTTTATTCAGTTAAGGTCTCTGTGAATGTTATGTGCTAATAAATCACAGCATTTACATTGTAGTGTTATAGACTTAAGCTTCTATTGTTGATGGCAGTGTTTCAGATTTGCACACTAGTCACACAAGTACACGCTGCAGAGGAAATAAAGCCAGCATGCACAAGAAATCACTTGTGTTAAATGTTTAATTTCTGCCATGAGGAAAACTGCTACACATGGTTCTAGTCAGCAGTATTCAGTATTTCCTGCATCTTACAGGACTTTGGCTTCAAGCTGGTGCCTCTTACCGGTGAAACAGGCTTAACCAAAGATTAAATCGCCACTTCTGCTATAAGTGGCCATTGTACAAGTTTGAATGTGCACTTCAGAGTGCCCTGTTACAGAGTACTCAGAAGGAAAATTCATATCACCTACATTGTCCAATAGACATGGTGCAACTGGCTCAACTGTGTAAAGTAAACATCATTCACCAAAATTTTGAATAATACTGTAATTAAAAGTGCTTTTTTTATCACAGGATTTTATCTTTTTTAACTCAGTATTTCAGACGTTTCTCAATATTTTAGGGGCTTTAAGGGAAAAGGCAAACTATTGCTCAACTTTGGCGGCTGTAAGAAAGAAAAGCACTACTCTGGAGTCATAAACTGTATTTATTCAAGGTTCATTTTGCCAGCTGCTGCCGCTTTTGAGCTTTGGGCAAACACTCACTGATATGTGTCTTTGCTTAGTTTTTAAAGCTGGTATTGATTTTTTTTTTTTTATTACATCCAATCTATGATTTCTAGGCTTTAGCTGGTTTGTTTTTCCCCACTCCTTTTATTTTCCATCCCCATGTGACAGTTTTTCTTCCCTCTTCTGTTTAGAATTTGTCTCTTGACACTTTTTTAATCTTTGCCAACAGGGTTTTCTTCCTCCCTGAGCACCATGCCTGGTCTTCATCAGTCCTGCCGTCATTTGGTCCGCTCATGGGCCAATCAGAGCCTAGGAGCTCACCTGCACAACATGACCCTGTCTAATGGGAAGCTCCGAGTGCCCCAAGATGGGAGGTACTATCTGTACTCACAGGTGAGAAAACTATGCAGATGGAGGAGATGCTCCAGGCACTTTGCTAGCCATATTTTTGTGTGTTTTAACATGACAAGTTTGTCATAACCTTGTAGTGATAGCTGCCGAATAAAGGTGTCTGTGACTGTTGTATATTCAATTTTATTAACCATTAATTGTTGTTTACAACATTTATTATTGGATTGGATGATTGGATTTATTATCGTAGGGTCTACCTTACAAGTAGGGTCTACCTGTAAGGTAGACTGCAGGAAACCTGCTTTTCTGTCAAAAACAAGGGCACGTCAAAGAGGAAAAAACAAAAAACAGCTCACTGCATTAACTTATTTCCACCTTTGTCCAGGTGTATTTCCGTTATCCATCCCCATCTGCAAATGAGGGGGACCAGCGCAGCGTCAGCCACCAACTGGTGCAGTGCGTCTACAAGAAAACTTCCTACCCAAGCCCCATACAGGTACAGCATCTCTGTTTTCCTAAAACAATCAAAGATCACCTTGAAGTATTTGTACCTTTCAGCACTTTCATTAGCACTGGGATGATTTTCTCTTCTTTGTTCTTTTTTCCAGCTCCTGAAAGGTGTGGGAACCAAGTGCTGGGCTCCAGACGCTGAGTACGCCCTACACTCCGTTTACCAGGGAGGACTTTTTGAACTGAGGGCCGGTGACGAGATCTTCGTCTCTGTCTCTTCCCCCACCATGGTAAATGCAGAAGAATCTGCTAGCTACTTTGGCGCCTTCCGTCTGGACCTCTGAGAGAAAAGGATTGGAGAAAAAAAAGAAGAGATGGGACAATGGATGGATAAACAGATGGGTTGGAGAGCTTGGGGCCTTTTGAATATCCATTGACTGGGGGGGGGGGGAAATGGTCCTATAGACAGAAGAAGAGATGGAGGTCTGGATCTTCAGTGTTTGCTTGGGCAGATGCACTGAAGGATGGAAGAACTGGGGTTTGAAAGATCTACATGGGTGAAGAATGCTGCAGGAGGATAGTGGATTTGCCTTTCCTACTCTCTTGATTAAGAGAAAGCAAGACTTCAAGATAAAAGACATGTGCAATTATGAAAAATAAATAAATGTGAGGACTTTGATTTACAGTTGATTCTTAAGGGGGAATTTGCCACAGGAAAAAAATAAGATCACAACCTTCTAGATGAAGTTCCGAAATTAGTCCACCATGCTATCTAGATCTCGATATAACACGACCCTACATGTGTGAATATGTCAGTGACCTTTTTATGGGAAAAAATTAAACCCTTGGTTTGGATTTGAAGAATTTACAAAAAATAAAAACTTTACTCTCTACATCAACGGCTGCAGAAGAAAATGAAACAATCAAACCAAAGCAAAAACTTCTTTTTTAAGTGTGCGATGGGAGTTCTGTACATATGTATGGCTGAGAATGAGATTTACACAATGGACTGTGGTGATTTTAAAAGTAATTCGTTTTTATTTTACCTTTGACTGGACTTAAAACCACTTGGGGAATCTAAAGACTTCCTACTCGCGAAACACTAAAACTGTGGATTTTATGTAAAGACCTTTAGTGGAGGAAGAGGATTGCCTCTGTGACAAACTGTAGAAAGAGCCAAGAGCTTTTTGAAGAGGAGTCTGCAAGCCAAGAAGAAGTGAAAACAAGGAGGGAGAAATCTTGATAAGAATTAGCCCGGCACTGAAAGATTAAAGGACAGAGAGATGCTGTGGGTAGTATGCAGCCTGACCACTCTGCGTGGTTGATGTCTCTTCTTTCTCTTTCCCTTGATTCCTTCTCTTATCTTTTCATGTTAACTATTTTATCTATCTTGTCGAACCTGTGAAGCTGCATTATATTTGAGTTCATGGAGCAGTTATGCAACCAACCACAAAGCAACAATGTGAGAAGAAGATGACAGAAACACATGCAAATAGTCTAGTTGCACAATCACAGAGAGCATGGATTAAAGTGACATTTAGGTTGGGTTACATGGAGTTGTTGTTTTCACTGCAATGATCATTGGTTCCATAATATAAAAATCTCATTTTGGATACATGGAGTTAACATAGTTATTGGTGTATTGCATTATCTTTCCAGGGTAGTAGCTCAACTTGAACATGGCAAATTGTGCACTTACCTAAAACGACTGCAGCATTTAGTAAAAGGACTGGTTCTTATATAGTGCACTCAAAGCGGTTCATACAGCTTGCCTCATTCACCCATTCACATGAGCACTTTTTTCTATGCTTTCTTTCACTGTAATTGTTGGTCTAGCTTCTGCATTTGGGGAAAGTTTAAAACCTGTCAAGCCTCTAGCAATGTCAATGCTTCAGTTAAAAAAAGAAAAATCCTCTAGTATAGTAGCTAACACAGAGAAGGTGGAGATCCCTGGGAGGGTTGCAACAGGAAGGGCATCCAGCCTAAAAATCTGTGCCAAATCAAATATGTGGATGCATCCGCTGTGGCGACTCGTTTTAAATAAAGGAACAGCCAATAAAAGCTTTCTCTGTGCTAGCTAGAGTGGAACATATTGTCCTTCTACTTGCTGAAAAATGATTGGTGCTAAACATTTTAACCACCATCTGGACACTCAGAATGCAAAAAATCCACACCTTAAGCAAGAACATGGGTTTAGCATAAAAACTCAAAGGAACATTTTGATAGTTTGAATACACAGTCACCCACTGGTTTGTGGACATTCTCGAGCTTTGAGTTTAGCATTGTGGTGGTCGGTATCTTTAGCTTGCGTCTGCAAACATTTACTCATCAGGACATTATTTACTGAGGTCAGACGTCATGTGAGATAATTTTCCTACTGACTTCTACATGATCAGACCTGTTTCTGCAACAAGAGATTTGCCCCCTGCTGGTTATGAGAACGACTACAAATGTAAAGCACTTGACTTGGCAAAAAGGCTGGTTTTTAAGCAGCCTGTGCCCATGTTAAGGGAAGATAAACAATACTTTCATTATGTAACCTCAGCTATGTTATTATTGTAGACGTCAGTGACAGTGAAAGAAATAGGGTATGGAAACTAATTTAATGCATCGGTGCTGAAATTGTTTGTTCAGAAACACAAACAGCTGACTAAAATTGGCTGACAGTCACTTAGTAACACTGGTGCATACACATAACAATTGCAAACATTATGAGCAGTTCAGAAACTGTATTCTCAAACACACTCAGATGCTACAAATCTGAAACACAGGATCCCACACCAAGTCAAGCGAACAAAGACCCAAGATTTGGAACGAGTGAGAGAGGATATTTGCAGACATAAACCATCCACCGCCTAGCACAGACACAACCCCTACATGCTTTTTTCTCTGTGTGCACATAAAAAAAGTACACACATCACCTCACACTACATCCAGGCTAGCCTGTGCTATGTAGACACACACATCATCCAATGTCACATCCAGCGTGAAGACATATGCCCTGATTAATCTGGGCTGTCTAGCCTCCCTGTGCCATCTGGTAATTGTCAGTGATCTGGCATACAGCGAGGGTGCGCACAGGCATGCTATGAAAACACAGCAACAGAGCTGGTTTATTTTCTGCTCAAATCACAAAATTAAAGGCAAATCTCATATTGCATTAAATTACTGTTTTAAGCTCAATTTTTTGCTGGGTGGCACGCACCTGCACATGTTTCTGTTGCTCTAACGCTCCCTGTGTGAAGTCAAGTTATATTCACGTTAAAATAATAAATGGTAACTTCAACAATTATGCAACATGTGCAATAATATTATAACTGTAAATCTCTATACCACATATACAAAGTTTTCCTACCTTTTGCAGTTTAAATGGTTATTTTTTTGAGTGAAAAAAACAAACAAACAGAGAAACACCTTTTCATCTGGTGATTTAGGTGTAGGTCAGCCATTAACCAAGATTTGGTAGTATCTTGGTTTGATGTGGAAAGGTATTTGTGGTAAAGCTAAAATTTTACTTTCTGCCAACTAAACTGTTAGCCAGACACAAAAACCTGTGTGATTGCTTTGGTTGCTAGCAAATTACTGAAGTTGCCGATAATTTGCAGGAAAGTTGTAGAATTATCTGCAAAGATGTTCCAAACCTTAGTAAAACTTAAAAATATACAATTCAAAACAGAAATCTAGAAAGTTAACTAAGTAAATGTTGTGCTTTGCTGCTATAATCAATGCGTTTCAAAAGATGCACCTTTTACTTTGATGGAGAACTGTCTTCATGTTGTACTTTCCTTATTTCATTGTCTTTTGGTGACTAATTGGCGAGGGTTTGTAGACAAGTCAGTGTTTCTCATGCAACAGCAGCAATCTGCTAACAAGGTTTTTGGTGCAACATCCTCTTGGTAGCCAGTTTCACATAGTGACTACCAGTAACCTCCATTAATCACTCAATAACATACTGGGGACTTCACACTTTTACTTGTTGCTGCCACAGCAGTCATTCTCTAGGCCTGTATGACTGGGGTGTAGCTGGCAATAGCTAGTAGATAATTAGCTTAGATTAGCATAGGTATCAGAAACAGTAGAATTGATAAGAAGAAACATTGAAACAAATGTTTACTAGTAGCAGCTTTATTAAATTCACAGTATAGAAGACAGGCTATTTGTGAGCAATTAGTGAGCATTGGGAAAAGTCGTGGTAATGGCTTCCATGTTTATTTTTTGGGCTATGCTAGGCTAACTTAGCTTTTACAATTTGCAGGTAAAAACAATGTTACAAATTTGCTCCAGATTTAATAGAAATGATTATAAAATAACACATTTCAGCATTTAGCTGTGTTGGGGTCGCTGAACATAGTGATTTAGTGATTTAAAATGTTTCACAATGTGTCACAGAGTCACAAGATAATAACTGAGAAGTTTATGTCATGTAAAGTAACTTTTCCATCCATAAATAATTGTCCTCTGAGATGTATTCATTACACTGAAGCCAAAGATTTACAGAGATCCATATGTGGCAAGTAATTGGACAGTTGTTCTGTTATGATTTGATTTACAGATCATTTCATTACATTTCTGTGTACACACTCGTTACTCCTGCTGGTTGGTTAATTAGATTTCTGAAGCTAAAATGTTTTTCATGTGTAGTACCCTGCAGAGTGAGTGTGTTCATCTCTCAGCATTTCACTTTCTGTTAGATAATGTATAAATAAGGACACATGCTGCTTAAGTTTATCATTTAAAAACATAAAACATAAGCTTGTCAGCACACTGTGGGGTAATGTCACAACAAATCATCCAAGTAACTCTAAACATCTACATCAGATGGTGTTTGGTGGGGGTGAAATAAATCCAAGTCATTGGATTTTACTAGGCTGATGAGCAACAAAAAGAAGTCAGATTGTATGGAGGCCAATGAGCAAAAGGTCTAACTTTTTAACTTATCTGCAGCCACTCTACCACATTGCTGATGTGTTTATGGTCTCAATTACTACTTCTAAGCCTTACTAAATACAAAATTGTTGCTATTATATTGGCAAGATTGAAAGTATAGTGCATGAGAAAGCGAGAGCATAAAGTTAAATTGATGAGGCAACTTAAAGTAAAACCAAAGTTTATCATATGTAAATGCTGCTCATCCAGCAGATGATAATTAGAAGGGTCGTATTGTGAGATAGCAAGAGTACAAATATATGTGTGGTCTGCTGTGAATCCAACACGTGTTTGGTTAAATCTGTTGGATTGTGAATGATAAAACATCACCACCCAGCGATGTTTAGCTTTGTAGTTCAGTTTTTATTATTGAGCAAGGCCTGTTTTTGATGTGTTTTGGTAAAATATTGCTTTTAGTTTGAAATCAGATCTTGTCTGTTTTCCTGTGCGTGTATCTGTGTGTGTGTGTGTGTGTGTGTGTGTGTGTGTGTGGTTATGCACAAAAATGCACAAAAGTGGTTTTAGACAACAGTTGAAAGCATTGCGCTTGAAACTGCCAGACCGCGAGTCAGACAAATTGTCCATCTCTTGCTCTCTACAAGACCTGGAAAGAGAAACTAAGCCATCACCGTGGGGCACTCTAAAATCTAGACCTCATGTAAGTCAGCGTTGAGATCTTTTCCAGTTATGCTCTGTTTTGAGCTTCCATCCAAGATTCATGCTGTGTTTATATTTTGCAAGCAGCGTAGCTTGTGGAATATAGATATATATTTTAAAGGGGAGGGCTTCACGAGTCCAGCTTCAGTTTGACAAACTGGGTGTCCAAACACAACAGCTTCTCCAGTCTTGGCTTTACACGGGGTGGGAAAAACACCACCTTCAAGCTCCTGTTTTGATCCCGGTGAGGATGTAGCTGTATTTAAAGGTCTGAGGTCGTGATTCCCCGACAAAATAAACCATTTGGACACTAATAAACAAGCTGAATGCATCCTTTCTCATAAAACACACACTGAGAGCCAAATTTTGGAAGAACTTGAAGCATACATTTTAAATTCATAGCAACCATCTACCTTACATATCTTAACATGTTACCATAATGATTTTGCACAGAACTACAAGTGAGACCATTATATGTTATAATTTGACCACAGTTCCTGCCAGTTAGCTAATTTTCTATGGTTCAAGTTGTTCCCCAGGTGCAACCCAGCCATTATATTTGGTTTCAACACCAGCTCTAAGAAACATCTGTTGATAATTACATAGCTGCATGTTGCAGGACACTTAAAGAAATAATCAAATTTAAGTCTATTTAACAGCTCGAGTGACTGGCAGATTTTGAAATACACCCCCAAATGTTGGTGGAGTACCACATGCACAGCAAATATGCGGCAGTGCTCTGTTGGCACCGACATGAAACAACTCTATCAACTCACCAGGACCAGATTAGTTTTCCTTTTGCCATTTTTTGCAGGGAACTGACACAATGATAAATACTGTTTTGTATTATTTGGCAAATTTATTGAACACAGCAACTGAAGAGGACAAACACAACCAGATCCCCCAAATGTCTTTATATCTGCACAGGCGCACTTGTCAGAACGCAAACATTTATATTCTATTGCAAGCACTGAAACAGCCCTCGAGGAGGCGAGGACAGGCAAATTTCCCCCACTGCAGAGGATTGACACTGTGTACATATTTGAATATCTTACAAACAAAAGACAATCACTGTTACGCAAGAAGTCGAACATATGCCAAACAATCATCTGAAAACAGCAGAGTGCTTTTTTTAAATTGCTGCTTCTATTTCTGACTTTGATGTGTACCGCTATGCAGATTTATATCAGTTGTCACTAAGCAGCACCGCTTGCATAATTAAACATTAAATGTTTTGCACAAAAGCAGAACAAATGCTGTTTATGCTTTGCCTGCATGCCTGTGTTTTCCAAGGATGTGAAACAAGCAATCTCATAATCAGCTGGCTGCCTAAGCTTTGGTCCAAAACCTCACATATAATTCTGTTCTTTCCAAAAATGAACACATTTCCTTTCCAATGCTAGCTTAACTAAGACTACAAGAGTGAATGTGCTTTGAATTCCGGTGACCCACTCTACCACCAAATTACACATTTAGAATTTTAGAAAGTAAACAACACTTTTACTATTCATGGCTCAGTAGATATGTAAATTAGCCCCAACCTCACCTTTTGGCTCACGGAGGCTTCACTCATTTACTCACTCACAAGATTTCTTTGAACACAAACAAGAACAGCATTAGACCCCACTGTGTGAAGAAAATGCAGGGCTGAATTTGTGAATCAGACAGACCCATAACAGAGATAGTATTCTGTTCCTGCCCGTCAGAGTAGAGAAAAAACTCCCTGAGCGCATGAAAATGTTTACAGTTCCTGTAGCAAACTATCATCACAAGCAAAGAATTTAGGTGGATTAGCACTAGTTGGAAACTTTTTATTACAGTCACAGTAGCGTATTGTATTGTCCTCAAGTTGTCTACTGTGGTTTTCACTCCTTTTCTCCACTCTGCTTCACACACACAGTCTAGCAGAGGACATACTCGGTGAAACAGAGAGCAACTTACACTGAGCTGAAATGAATCAAGTGCACATATACAACATAAATCGTAGACTTCATTATGAAACAGCTTCTAGTGTGTTGTTAGTGTTAGATAAAGCTTGTTTCCAATTCCCCACTCTGATAAATCAGCTACATTGATGAATTGATTTCTTAGGCTTGCAGCGTATGAAGCTATCACTGTCTGAATCTGAGATTATGAGGTCACTGGTACACTACAGTCACGAGGTGGAGATTTTCGTTCATGATTGTTTCTGCTCATATATGTCTTCTAGTTTATAAAAAATGACATGTTAATACACTACAAACTGATTCTGATCACAGGGATCAGTGAAACAAACAGTTCTCCATTAAAGCGGTTTATGAATGTAGATACTGTTCAACACATATCCTTTTGCTTTTCTTAAAATCACATTTGATACCAACTGAAGAATGTACATGTAAAGTTCTGCTGATTGCCTTGTGCCTTTTAAAAAATAATGCTCTTCTGTGTTATTTTGTGCTCAAATAAAGTGCCTACTGTCAAACAGGAATATCAGTGCCACGTTGTTTGCTTTAAATAGAGATGTAAGTGACTGTGGAAGTGAATGTGGCATGGTTGTTGCTGTCACATGGGCTGATCTGCTGGGATGTTTCCACGTAACCATCTCTAGGATTTACAGAGAATGGTCTGAAAATGCCTTCTTGATTTCAGAGGTGAGGAGAATCAACACGTTCTCACTCCCAAAGCGTAACATTTTACGCTAGGTGACAAATCGTCGACATATTACGCTTCCAGGCACCCAACATGTCTCTACGTTACGAGATCAGAAAAATGAAAAGGTGAGAACCATTTGGAATGAATCTACACATGTACGCTCAGGAGTGAGAACGTGCTGGGACAATGGCCAAACTCGACAGGAAGGTAACAAAAAAAACTATTCGTTATGGCCAAGTTATGCAGACGAACATCTTTGAATGCACAAAAAACTTAAAGCAGCCATGCTACAGCAGCAGAAAGCCACAGCAGGTGCCACTCCTGCCTGATAAGATAATAGCAGCAAACTGATGCTTCAATTCACACAGGCTCACCAAAATTTGGACAACAGAAAACGTTGCCTTGTCTCATGGGGGTCGATTTCTGCTGCCACATTTAGATGGTAGGGTAAGAATTTGGTGTAAAAAAATACAAAAGCATGAATCATCCTGTCTTTTATGGATGTTATAAGTTTCTGGTGTTATAATGGTAACACCAGCAAACTATACCAATTGTTCATTCAGGATCTAAAACTCTTACAGTTAATTGTCTGATTGTCTTGAAACAACAGACCCAGTTTCTCAAAGCTATCTTGCCTGCCACTTTGATCGGCTGCAGACGTAAACTCTTTGGCACTGTAATTACAAGATTTTAGTGTAATTACAACACGTTTACTGCTCCCTCTGTCCAACTGGTTAAAAGATTAATCCAGAACCAAGGCTCACCTTTGTTCACACAGGAATTTTATTACCTGAGGATATCCAGTAATTTGTAATAATTGCTGACTCTATCAGTAATTTTAACCCTCTGCGAATTCAAAATGTCTCCAGTTTGTCAAGTACAAATTCCAACACAAATTGCCCACCATAATTTCCTTACGATGGTCTCTTGATAATATTGATCCTGTGCAAACTGAGCACTTTGTAACTGCAGCTGTAATTTGGATTTTGGCAGGATACATCAAGTGGAATACAGCCACAGAGGTGAAATTAATGACCAAAGGAAATTTTGGTTTTACTTTACAAAGAAATCTTCAACTAAAACTTCTGTATCTTAACATGGCATCTTACAGTATTGTGCAAACGTCTTGGGCGACCCCCTATTTCTTATATTTTACTAGGAAAATGTGTGTGAAAGTTGATATTTGGTATGACCACCTTTATTCTTTAGCTCAGCCTAAACTCTTAGGCAATCATTGTTGTAATTTCTTGAAGCAGTCTCCATGAATAGTACTCCAGGCTTCTTCAAGGACATTCAAAACTCTTTGGATGTTGGCTGCCTTTTGTTCTGTTCTTCGTCAAGATGATCCCACAGCCCTTAAGTAATGTGGAAGTCCGAGCTCTTGGGAGGCCAATCCGTGACAGATAACATTCCATTGTGTATTTTTCTATTCAGGTATGCTTTTACTCCATTAACAGTGTTTTTGAGATCATTGTCATGCTACAAAAATGAAGGTGTTGCCAATCAGATGTTTTCCAGATGGTATTGCACCGATTTTCATTCCAGTTCTTGTGTAATTCATCATACCTCAGCCTTTTCTCCCTGTTTCCCTTCCGGCTTTTTTACAGCCACTCTTCCAATGAGACCATTTCTGATGAGAGTTCAGCAAACAGCAGGTGGGTCTACTGAAGAGCCAGATGCTTCTCAGCTCAAGAAATGGTTTTCTGTTATATGTAAATGATTAATAGTTCAGTGTTAACCAAAAGAAAAATCTGAAAAACATTCCTCCAGAGTGAAAATTACCCTATTTTTTGGACAAAAAGCTGCACTTAAAATACTTCAAATTTCTCAAAAGTCGACAGTGCGCTTTATGTATGAATTCTGATTGTGCTTACTGACCTTGAACTGATTTTACGTGGTACACCAAGATCAAAAATGTGTCAAAAAATGTTTTAGTACGACTTTGGTAAGCTACAAAGCTGCACCACTTGATGGACTGTTGGAGTATTACGGATACTGTAGTCAGGAGCCTCGCAGAGTGTGTAACAATCAAGTTTAACATCCAGGCATCCATGAAAACAGAATTTATGAAAATTTAACAGAGTTAAAAGTTAGAAGAAACTCTGGCTGCTTGGAAGTAAGATATAAAGAATTAAGGACAAGAGATGGCTGAAGACCTTTGTACATTGTTGTACAATGAAATACACTGGTGAAACACTGGGAAATAAAGCCCAAAAGCTCCATACAAATATTTAATAAAACTGCTTTTTTATTGTTTCTATTTATCTGTTTCTTACCTTCTTTTTTATGTACCTGTTAGGCATGTTAGATATCACATACTACGTGACTGATACCAAAATGTATTTGGTATGTTTGTTTGTTTTATGAGAAAAGAGACTTAAAATTGTAACCTTAGAATCTAACCTTATATAACATAAGCCACTTCAATACCTAAGTCTTGTGCTGTGCTGGTTTGAACTTTGGTACCTTCGGTTTCTTATGTAATGCATTTTTCTTTGACATTATGGAGTAATTTTCGCTGCTGTTTTCTAAACCATACATCACTGAGCCAGTGAAGCGGCTTGAACAAGAAGAACAGCAGGAAGCAGCAGAGATGTGGAGCAGGCCAGAATTGCATGAATATCTTCCTGTCAAACTCAATATGAGTTTCTTTGGATTCATTTCTGTGTTATGTCAGAGAGAGATAATAACCAGCACCATTGTTTCTCTGAACCAATGAACCAAACACACATCCACCAATCCAAATAAGATCAGTGTGTGTGTGTGTATTTGTGTGTGGTGCTTTAGGACTGTATGGGCCACAAGTACCATGTCAGCACATCACAAAAGACGGCTCATTCTTAAGCAGAATATTTATTTATTTATTAAAATTACTTAATTGATGAGAAGTTATGCTGTGCATGCCCATCTTATCCTCTGGGGATGGCTTTAGAGTATCTAATTTCTGACTGCCCCACCTTTAAGAAAAAAAAAAAGACAACACCAACATTCCTTCCTCTTTCATCTTAGATGCAGGAAATGCCGATGATGCCCTGTGATCTGAATCAACAGAGCAGTGGAGCTTAACTAAGGAAGGTCTCCGTTCAAAATTGCCGCGTAAATTTAAAGTTACCAAAGATGTGGTTCTTGCTTGGACCACAAGCCAGTTTCAGTTAACGAAGTAACCGGTGAGTTCTTTTGAACATGAGAAGCAGAAAGAGCTGTTCTCTTTTCTTAGTGGTATTTGTCATCTGAAGCACAAACACATGGACACTTTTGTGATGCTTAAAGCTCTTTGGAGGCTCTTAAAGTTGGTAACATCTGCTGCCTATACATGGGTTCAAACGACTGATGGACATTTTAGGCAAACTGCTGACAGGCGGATGATGAAGCTGTTCCCTGTTGATCTTCTCTGCATGCCACATGAATAAAGAAACCATGATGGTTCTGTACAGACCACCAGGGTGAAGCAAGGACAGCCACGGTGACACAAAACATTTGAGGGAAACCGCATTAACATCTGAGCTTCATGTTCAGTTTACATAGTCTCTTGCTTTGCTTAACGTCCTGCTGATGTTTGAAAGACTATTAGCATAAACCAGAACCATTCAACTCAAGCCAACTATAGACATTTTTCTTTTCCTGAATCTGAGGAAACCCACATGAAATAAGTCACTCCTAACTCAAGAGGTTTGCTTTATGTGTGTTTTTAGTGGGCACAGTAGAAAACTTATCAGACAAAAGAAACTGGTTAAATAACAAAGACGGCTGGTTCATAAAGACGCATAACGAGTAGTGTAAATTCCCCCTGAGACTGTGTGGACAAAGGGACAGTGTGTGCATCCTGGTAAATGAAAGGAAAGCTCAGTTTCATTACCCTGCAGAAGGGCTAAGAATGTGTGTAATTTCAGCATGCTTGGACAGCATGTAGATCCATCAGTGATAACTGGCTCCAAGACTAATAAAGACCTAATCTGAAACTAAGGAAAGCACGTGTTTGACCAGAAGAGTGCATTTCAAAGTCAAACATAGACATAAATTATTGCATTGTTGGTGTAGAGTTTCAAGATTGAGCATGAGATTTCACCTGGTGAGGCTACAACCAAACTGAAGCAGGTGGAGGTGGTTTTCATTTTATAATAATAATTGGGACTTAATGATCCTTGATTACCAAGCAGTTCCTGGCTACCTGTCTGACGAGTATTATACTTTCTATATCCATGAGTCCACTAGAGTCTGCATATAGCCATGCCATGTAAATTTCATTATCAGATGGTGAACAGAGGATCCGTGCAGATTTAGGCCTACCTGCTTAACCCTGACCCTGCCGTTTTTTTGTTTTTTTTTAAACAGACTCATCTGTGGAGAATTTACATTAGAAGCAGACTTCAAAGAAGTATAACAGAAACAACTACATGTCTGTTGGGTCTCCACCTGTCTGTGTCCAAAACTGAGTATAACTGAAGCATTAGCATTACATAAGTTGTACCAGGAATGTAGAAATTGTAGAAATACTTTCTTTTTGTGCCAATTTTAACCAACAAACTGCTTTTACCAGTACAGTAACAGGCATACAAGCAGCTCCAGAGACCAGACAGACGTTTTGATTAATGGAGACATTGGTCATATTAAACACTTAAACGGCTTTTTCTCTGACCTGCTGTGTTTGCATAGGAGTGTTAACAAAAGACCTATTGGTTTTTCTAACCTGCCCCCATCCATAGAGTACCACCCTTCCTGACACGCACACAAGCACACACACACGCACTGTGCAGTCACCTACTTACTGTTATCGTCATATCAGCATTCTCCTCATACTGGACCCGCTTTCCCTCCATCTTCTCTCTCTCACACACA